AATCATTTTACATCTGTTAGAAAATCAGAATAAACATTGGGGCTGTTGGAAGTATTAGGATCGATGAAACATCAACATGCTCTCTACTGACATGCTGGCAACTACACACACACACACACACACACACACACACACACACACACACACACACACACACACACAGATCTGCACAATTAACGTATGCACTGATACTTTTACGTCCCATCAGGGCGAATGTGGTTTGACCCAGTTTGAGCTTTAAATGAGCTGCAACCCAAATCTGACTGAACTCAAACATTAGTGTTTTTAACAATACATATAATATTTAATGTAAAAATACAACATTAAACTATGAACTCCTGAAAATATAAAAACACAAGAAAAGATTCTACACCACTTGCTTCGTCTCTTAAACCGTTCACAGACTCTTTCTATAAATTATTGTGGAGAATCAAACGTTTCCCCTCAATTTTGGGGAAAATGCGTCAGAAATGATGCAGGAGAAATCTACGATATTTCCATTTCCCCAGTGTTGTCATAAAATATTTTGCTAGTCTTCAATAAAAAAAGTAGTCGCAGCTAATTTACACCAGTTATATGGGGTTTAACCATAAATCCAACATTTTTCTTCTTGACTATCCTTCACCAGTAAGATCTGAATACATTTAAATTTATGAAATGATTAAAAGTTGTGAGTTGAACAGAGTGATGTCAGGTCGTCTCACATCAGTCACTGTGGTGTTGTTTATTTGTTAACTCGGACCGTTGACCCATCTGCTGCAGGAAATCTGGCAAACAATTAACCTTTAAGTGGGTCACACACGTCATCAGGCCCAAAACTGAAAACTGACTCTTTTAAAAAGGACAAAAATAGAAAACAGAAACGTCTTTCATGGGGACCAGAGATGCTGTGTTGGGTAAGAGGCGTCACTCTGGAGTGAAAATGTGGAAGTTTGAAGGATTTTTGTCACCGTAGCTCCCACTGGAAAACTAGATAACAACTGTACCTCATGCATCTGCAGAACCATCGGTACCAGCAGGACTCATAGTAGTACTTGTAGTATTAACATTCATGCTGAAGTAGGCGTTAGTAGTATCAAAGTACCTTCATCTCTTCCTATTGTTTTCCTCCCTCTCCACAGTCTACGAGCTCCAGGAGACCCAGAAAAAGATCACCATGACGACCAGCACAGCACCCCCTCCCCCCGAACCTGGAGTGGCCCCGCCTCCCGCTCCTCCCCCGCAGCCGCCTCCTCCCCCTCCTCCTCCCCCGCCGCCGCCTCCTCCCCCTCCCCCGTCCAGATGCAATCCCCTCAGGTGAGGAAGGGAGCGACACGCCGAACACGCTTGTTACATATCGCACAAGAATCTTTAGGCTTTGTAATAATCATTGATGTGTGATCAATAAATCTGTCTCTCTTTTAGTTCTCTGATCGCCATCATGAGAAAGTCTTCCAAAGGCTCCAAAGCCTCTGTGAAGACGGAGGAGCCTCCAGGTGAGTGTGAGTATATATAATGATAATTATTTTATTTCTATAGAACCATGGCACTGAGCTCACACATAAACAAATAAATAGGAAATTAAATTATATAAGAAAATCGACTTGTGTAAGGCAGGTGAAACTTAAATATATATATATATATATATATATATAAGATAGTAACACATACATATAGAGTGAATATAGTCAATATATACTGAACTCTTCAGCTTCTGAGGGCGTGGACGACGTGAAGGTCAAGGCGGTGAACGAGATGATGGAGAGGATCAAACACGGAGTCGTCCTGCGGCCCGTCAAGAGCCAGGGCAGCAAGGTGAGGATGACTGAGACGATTTATAGTTGTTGTCTGGTTGTTTACTCACTTCAGTGATTTACATTCGTCTGTGTTTAAATGTTTAAATGTTTTCTGATCATGCAGAACAGATGTACTATTATATATTTTTAATTTAAAGGTTTCTTTAATTTGTTGAACAGAAAACAACATAAATATTATCCGGGCATGTTGACTTATTTTCTTTTTGCCCATAAATCTGTTAATAAACCTCACAGAGTTTTTCTACCTTTTGTCCTCATTTACTTTTGACCCTGTGTCCTATAATAATAAGGGGTCAAAGGTCAGAGGTCATATCACCCTGACACCAGAGAGAAAGATTCTAAAAGAGAAAATCAATGTTTTATTCCCAACAGAAACAAAGCAACTCAAACTACGTCCCTGCTTCATCTGCAAATGTGAGTGTAACTCCTCTTCCTGTAAACATCAGGACGTCTGCAAACATGATGAGGTCGTTTCAGAGTCTGATTTCACTCCGGCTGATTACTCTCCTCTCTCTCCTCTATTTTTCTGCTTCGTGCTGCCACAGAAAACGGCAGTAAAAGTGAGTATATTGACGTTTGCATCAATCTTGTGATGTGATGCCACACTCACTCCCCAGGGGGCCGCAACACACTCACGCATAAACACACACACACACACACACACACCCTCCAGTTTTAATCAGTTAAACACATGACATTTCGTCCTTTCTGAGCGGGACACTGTGTTCGCTCTGTTTTGTTCCTCCCCTAAATGAAGCGTCACTAAAGCTGCTTTCTGACAGAAATTGAAGGCTGCACATTTTCTGGATCTTCTCCCGCGGCCTCCTGGTAAAATGTCAGAGTGAGTCCATGTGAGAAAACATCAGGAAAACATCTGGAACCTTCTCAGTGAGCGAGTGGGCGTGTCTCTGAGGTTTCTAACACGTGACGGACGTGAAACTGAAGAACACAAACATCTCAGGATGAAGAAGAGGAGCCGTACACGTAGAAGACGAAGACGTCCACATGGACAGACGAGGAGGTTCCAGATGTTTTGGTGATGAGGGCCGACGCCGTGTGGACGAGCTGTAAACAACAACACTGATCTTTACACAGCGGAGTTTAGACGTCATGTCCCGCCTCCTGCTGCTCTACAGGCTCCGCCCCTCGCCTGAGTGTCCCCCACATGTTCCTGTTGTTGTGTCTCAAACTGGTCACAAGAAAAACAAAAAGATGATTATTTGTGTTTTTCTTTTTCCAGCCGCCTCCACCGTGTGAGGAGAAACCACAGGAGAGCGCCATGGAAGAACTGAAAGGCATCCTGGTAAAATTATTAGTATACGTACATCGGTTATCATTGTTCTACATGTGGAAACTATTTCCAGTGTCATTACTGCAGCTGACTTTGTAACAGGCATTTAAACAAAACAGCAGAAATAAAGATAACAAGCGGGTTAAAAAACACAGTGAACATTAGACAGTGAAGTTATTCTTGTTTCTAATGTTGTTCAAGGTTTGTTTATTAATACTTAGAATATTTTTACCTCCAAATCAAAATTTCGTACACACATATACGAAAAGGAAAGGAAATAGATTTTATTATTTCAGTGTCAGAGTTTCAGAATTTGTAATTCTCTGCAGGAGACGGTGAAGAGGAGCCCGAGTCGCGGCTCTCAGGAGTCGGGCCCCACTCCGCCGGGGAAGAAGGACAGCGAGCTGGAGGTCATCCTGAGACGCAGACGTAACAAGGCAGGAGAGGCCGGATCTGGAGGTAAAGACGCCCGAGGAGGAGATTCTGTTCCATTTCACATTTTGACCCCATGACTCTGCTTTTTCAGTTCTGATGTCATGAGTCTGTCCAGATTTTTATCTGAACCTGTTTTCACAGACTCATCTTAGAGTCTTAAATAAAACATGTTAGTGCATAAATCTTACCTGTGACTCTCTACTTGTTATGACCCTAAATGCACTTTGAACTCAATAATATTAAAAAGTAAATATAACATAAGAATTTGCAGAAGACTAAAAGTGGCACATTTAACAGTAATAAAAATAAAGAATGGTAAAACTCAAAGTTGTTTGTGTGAAGCAGCTCCATGTAGTTCTGCATCTCCTGGTTCACATCAGGTCGCTGTGTTAATTATCACGTCGCTGTGTCAGTCAATGCTCACGACACGTGGTTTTTACTGAGGTCACAAGTTCGACTCCCGCTGTGACGGCACAGCGACTGTAGAGACCTGTGTACAGAAGAGGGCGCTCTGCACCTCCGAATTAAACATGAAATAATGAGGTCAGGAACTGCTGCTGTGGATTTATCAGCTTTTCCATGATTGATTGACCTGATCGAGCAGATTAACCACATAAACACAGCAGCTTGATTTAAAGTGAGCAGAGATATTTAAACTGCACGTGTGACCGAGTCTAGACAAACAGATAATAAAGAAAATAAGATAAATCAAACATATACTCACTGAAGTAATAAAAGAGATGCATCTTTCAGGTCAGGAGTCGTTCACACTGCTGCACGCTGAGGTTATTTATATGTAAATGAGAAAAAGGTGTTTGTTTTTTCCTAATCTGATTCTAAATCTGCCAATAGATCTGTCAGCCAGATTTTCTTCACTCAACAAACAAACAGATTTAAAAGCAGCACATTGTTCTTTTCTTCTTCGTGTCCAGACGACGGCCAGATGAGCCACGTCTCCTCCTGCGACAGCCTGAACGGGAGGAGGACCAGCAGCGACTCAAGCAAAGATCCCGAGGGGCCGGGGGGGCTGAGCGTCTCCTCCGACCCAGCGGCGCCCAAGTTCAGCTCAGAGAGGCGGGGGTCTGGGCCGGGACCTATCGTGGCCCGGAGGAAGAGCTCTGACACGGGCAAACAGAGCAGAGCGGGCTCCTGGCAGGAGAGGAGGTCCTGCAGCTCGCTGTCTGAGAGGGAGACGGCAGAAACTCAGCTCAGCAACGGCTGCATCAACAGGTGGAGCATCACTGTCCCAAACTCACAATGCAGCTCATGATAACTTTTTATTATCGAACAAGAAGCAGTTAGTAGAGTTTGTAGAGTCCGTTCCACCGCCAAGACCCAACAGTCCCTTGATTGAGTCAAGCTGCTCCACATTTCACGCACATTTAAATATCAGATTGTTGCGCCTCATGTTTCCAAGTTGACTGCGATTTTCAGAGTTAAACATCAACAATAATGTTTTTTAACAGTGTTTTTTGTTTCTACCTCAAACAGCGTTGTGAAGGATGATCAAAATGTGACGGAGAAGTGCGTCCAGTCAAACGGAGTTGACCATGAAGAACCTGGTGAGGACGCACACGCCACCGTCTGCGCCGGTCCGGTCAATGGCAGCGGCGACGCTGAGTGCTAGGGTGGAAACCGAGGATCCTGGGTGTTTGTTTCATATCTGTCAGATTATTTATGGATACGACAGATGTCACTGATATTCACTCAGATCAGAAGGTGTTCGGTGCGATCTCATCAAAACAAACCATCGGTTCTGGTTCTAGTATTTCCTGAAGAATTTCTTGCTCCACTGACACGTTGAAGTCGAGTGAGTTAAACTGTTCAGATTGTTCTCGGTGTCAAAGTCCGGCCACTGTAGAAACATTCTCAGACACAAGACGTTCACTGTTCAGACATAAGTAAACTTTCATTGTTGTCAAAAAATATAAACGTGGAATTCATTAATTTAAAATAAGAAACAACGTTAACGATAGCTCCTATTTTAGCATTTTTCAACCTAGACTGTAAATAAAGATGGACGACCCGTATGCACCTCCTCACGCTGTACAAATATAAAACTACAATATCTCAGATCCGGGTGCTGCCTGCTTGATGACGTCAGTGACTGAGTTGAGGTTTCTACAGTGGGCTGATGCTCTGAGTTTTGATCGATCTACTCCACATCAGTTCTTTTTCTTAAAACAAACCTGTGGATCCTCGAGGACGAAATGACTGAACTTTACGAGGGAAGCTGCAGGTTTTTTTGCACAGAGCCTCAGTTTTCTTCAAACACTTCGACTGCAAAGCTTTAGGTTGATGTTTTCCTTTTTTTTCTCTATTCGATGGTCAAAGGTCTTTTGACTTTTGTGTCATCAGAAAGAAATGCGCTGTACCGGACTGTTAAAAATCCAACTTCACCTCCAGGGTTAAAATAGTCCAGAAATCACTGCATGTGGGAGAAAAGCACTTCCATGTTTTCTGCAGAGGATTTCTCCTGTCCAGGTTTCAGCAGGTCGACTATCAGTGTGTCGTTAGGTTTGATGTGGAAATCAGACAAATGTGGAAGAGTAATAATTCAGGTTTTGAAAGAAAAGTTTCTCCAACAGCAGAAAAGACAGTAGGTGGGTTTCCATCGTGGTTCATGCAGATTTTGTATTTCCGTTCTAAAGAGGTGGTGTGGAAATGACAGAAATTCAAAAGAAATCTTGGAAAGAAAGGATTTTATGCTCGACTGAGATGGAGGCAGACGAATGTGAAAACATCATAACGAACATGAGTCAGGTGGTTAAAGTGTCCAATGAGAGAAGAGATGAAAAATGGTCCCAGAAGAAAACTGATCTGTGACATTTCTCAAATTAATACAGAGAAATGTCTTTTTTCAAAGTTGTTCCCTGTTTGTGGGTTCACTCAAGTAACTATTGATAAGTAATCATGAATACTGGGAGCCCTCCGTCTTTTACTGTACATCTTTTAACGTCACAGTTATATACACAGATATTAAGGCGTTACACATTTCACACATCTCTGCAACTATCTGACTGTTTTCATCAGAGAAGAAACGCATCCAACAAGCAAGATAATAATTACTGTTAAATATCCATGAACCAAAAAGATTCTCACTTGAGTTACGTGTGCCTTCTTTTCTTTTTCTGTGTCTTTGTGGACCGAGCAGCTGCAAGATAAAGTTTTGGCCGCATTCTCTTTCGTTACCTGTAGGAGACTAGTGTTGCTCCTTCTTCTGTAATGGCTTCAATGCATCTGGCTGAACAAAAGGCGCTATCTGCTGTTTACCTTAATAACTTCTCTTATTGGTGTGTAGCATTCGTGGATGGAAATCTGCAAATCTCATTTTCTTTTAAAATGTGAATAAGTTTGTTCCGTATTTGGATGGAAACCCACCGAACATCACAACTAAATCACAGCCGACTGAAAAGCTCTCAGGGTCCATGGGACAAAATGTCACCAAACCCACATCAGGGGCCTCGACAAGAAACATCTGGGAGACACAAACAGAGCCATTGTGTTTTTTAAACTCTTGGTGAAATAAGAAAATGTCCAGAGTCTTTGGAGGAGTCCGGTGTTTGTGCACTTTCTCTGCCTCTAAACCTTCAGGTCCTGAATCACTGTGTGTTGTTAAAACCCATGAGACACGTCATCGTCCCTCCACCACAGATAAGATGTCTTCCACACACATGCACGTATACTCTGCGGCGCCCCCCCCCCCCCCCCCCCCCCCCCCCCTGCTGTGTCTGTACTCGGTCGACACACTCACCGCCATGTGCATTCCTTGACTTTTATTTTGTAGGGCCTGCTGTCTATATATAGCTTTCCTGACACTCGATGCAACACGAAGAATCGATTTGAAGAGTATGCAATGACATAAGGCACATTTGTATGATGCTTTCACACCTTGTCGATATTTCTTAAAACACAGACTCACATTTACAAGTGCATTTTGTTCCGTCCTTTCGGTGTATTTTATTCTAATGCAAAGGACCAGAAGTCACTGAACACAGGAAACAACCCTCGGAGCTCTGACAGCTGCCTCTGGCCTGAGTATTAATTATATGGAGGCTTTGCACAGGCCTCAGACGGTCGGAGGGTTGTCCTGCAGCTGTGTCAGGTCCTCGTGCTGATTGAATCGTTGTCGACCTTGTGGCTACTTAAAGGGATTTACTGTATCTGACAGAGTTTGGGTGACGATAGATATTGTGTGTGTTTGGGAAATAAATGGAGTGAAGTTTTTTAAAACATGGATTTTCATTTTAGCATCACTTGAAATAAATTGCAATTAGAAATGAAACAAGAGTCGTTTGTCTTCATTGGAAAAAGTCAACAATAAAACCTCTGATGAAAAGTAAATGACCTTAAAAATACTATCTATCTATCCACCCATCCATCTATCTATCTGTCTATCTATCTATGTATCCATCCATCCATCATCCACCCATCCATCTATGATTGTATGTATCTATCTATCTATCCATCCATCTATCTATCTATCTATCTATCTATCTATCCATCCATCTATCTATCTATCTATCTATCTATCTATCTATCTATCTA